CTCACCCTTCTCCATGAACTCGGTGATGATGTARATGGGCTCCTTGGTGACCACGGCGTAGAGCCGCACCAGCCGCGGGTGCTGCAGTTTCTTCATCAGGTTGGCTTCAGCCAAAAACGCGCTGGGAGCCATGCTGCCCGCCTTGAGGCTCTTCACGGCCACCTTGGTGTGCCCGTTGTAAAAACCTTTTGGGGTAAAATCCAAAAAAACGGGCTGGGAGAGTGACCCCGACAGCGGGCGGGTGACAGTGGCGGTGCCAGGTGAGGAGGTGGCACCGGATCGGAGCTTTCAAGGTTTGAAGATGGAGTTTTGTGTCCCAAAGGAGGGGTTTTGTCGCCGGGGAAACTCGCCGGGGTGAAGTGGCCACGGTTTGGGTTGTAAAAACCTTTTGGGGTAAAACCAAGAAAAATGGGCTGGGGGAGTGACCCCGACAGCGGCCGGGTGACAATGGCGGTGCCAGGTGAGGAGGTGGCACCGGATCTGAGCTTTGGCGGTGGTGGCGACTCGCCGGGTGAAGTTTGGGCACGGTTTGGGTTGTAAAAACCTTTTGGGGTAAAACCCAGAAAAACGAGGTGGGAGAGTGACCCCGACAGCGGGCGGGTGACAGTGGCGGTGCCAGGTGAGGAGGTGGCACCGGAGGTGTCTCGATCTGAGCTTTGGATGTTCCAAAGTTTGAAGATGGGGTTTTGTGTCCCAAAGGAGGGGATTGTGTGGGGCGGGCGGAAGGGTGAGAGTGACAGCAGAGACCCCACAGGGCTGTGGGGCGGGATGGGGGAGCGGGGGTGGATCGGGGGGAGCGGGGATGGAGGGAGGGGAGCGGGGCAGGATTCAGGGATGAAGGGAAGCAGGGATGGAAGAGAAGGAAAATGGGATCGGGGGAAGCGGGGATGGGGAGAAATGGGGCAGGACAGGGGGAAGCGGGGATGGAGAGGAAGCAAAATGGGATCGGGGGAAGCGGGGATGGCTGGAGGGGAAGCGGGACGGGATGGAGAGAAGCGAGTCGGGATCGGGGAGAGCGGGGATGGAGGGAGGGGAGCGGGACAGGATCGGGGGAATGGAGGGGAAAGCGGGACGGGATCGGGGGAAACAGGGATGGGGAGAAATGGGGCGGGACAGGGGGAAGCGGAGACGGAGGGAAGCGGGGCAGGATTCAAGGATGAAGGGACGCAGGGATGGAGGGGAAGCAGAACGGGATCAGGGAAAGCGGGACGGGATCGGGGAAAGCGGGGATGGAGGGAAACAGAGCGGGATTTAGGGACGGAGGGACGCGGGGCAGCCCCGGTGGCTTCCCCATCGCATCTCTCCGGGAGCAGGAGTGTTTTTTGGGGGTCTAGATGTGCCTCCAAGCCCCCTCAGCCGCAACAAGCGACACTCCCCGCGTGGGGACAAAGCCAGCAGCATCCCCCGCTCCGTGAGCCCCTCCGCTTTCCCCGCAGCGTTCCGCGCAGGAGCGGAGCAGGGATCCGGGGATGGAGCAAAGGGGAAATTTGGGCTGCTCTGGGTTCTCCCCTCTTCCCTGAAAGCCACGATCCCACCCCTCGAGCTGCTCCGTGCGAGCTCCAGCGCGGCCGGAGGATCCCGCTCCCCGCACTCACCCATCCACACCTCCCCGAACTGCCCCGCTCCCAGCTTCTCCACCAGCTTCAGCGACTCCCGCGGCACCTCCCACTCGTCCTGCCACCACGGCTTCTGCGGCTTCTGCGTCCGGCACGGCTTGCCCAGGCGGCAGCACAGCCCGTCGGAGCTGCCTGGGCGGGGGAAACGGGGCTGGGCCAGCGCGGGGCAGCGGCCACTAGCCAGGGTGTGCCTGGGGCGCTGGGAGCT